ACTTTCACACTAAAAATAAGGAAGTCCTTTAGTTACTATGTGAAAACAATTAGCGTGTAAAAACAGTGAACAATTCTTAGATGAGCCAGGAATCATCCAAAATAGCAAAACAAAAATTGGCCAAATAATACTGTTAGAACAGGTGGAAAATGACTTTGTGACCTAAATAGGTTACTAGTGTGAAAGCCTTCACAGAGGGGGAAATGTTGCATCTTCTAAATTTCATATAAATGAAACCAAACAGTTCATACTCTCTCTTTTCCTCCTTTCACTGAACAGTGTTCTTATCACTCATCTGTGTTGCATGTATGGGTGTATTCGTTCCTGAGTAGTGTTCCATTATATGGGAAAACCCCGATTTGTTCATCTTTTCACTCTTGGTTGACATTTGAGTTGTTTCCAGTTTTAAGCTGCCACAAGTAAAGCTACTATGACCATTGATGTACAGTCTGTGGATAGGCTTCATTCCCTCACTTCAGATCCCAAGAAGTGGAATGGTTGCATTAGATCATAGGTATATGCTTAGCTTTGTAAGAAACTGACAAACTTTCAAGATGGTTGTACATTTTATGTTCTGTGTCCTTGCCAATAGGTTATGGTCAGTCTTCTTAATTTTAGTCATTCTGTGGTTGTGCAGTAGCATCTCATGGTGGGTTTAATTTGGATTTTTGTAATAACTAAAGATTTTGAACATGTTTTCATGTGCTTGCTTGCCATCTGAATATTTCCTTGGTGAACTACCTGTTCAAATTTTTTGCTCATTTTTATTGGGTTGTCATCTTATTCAATTCTAAGAATTCTTTCTTTTTTAAAGTACTGGGGATCTAGTCCAAGACCTTGGACATGATAAACATGCATTCTGTCACTAAGCTATATCCCCAGCCCCTAAGAATTCTTTATATATCCTACAATCAAGTTCTTTGATACATATTTTCTCCCAGTATATGGCTTACCTTTTCATTTTTATAATAGACTCTTCTGAAGAGAAAAAAATATTTTTATGAAGTCTATTTTGTTTTTTTATAATTTATGCTTTGTGTGTACTATTTAAAGTCTTTCTCAAACTCAAGACTATTAAGATTTTTCTCCTGTGTTTTCTTCTATAAGTTTGTTGCTTTAGTTCTGACATTTAGACCCGTGCTCCATTTTGGGTTGAGGTGTAAGTGTACGGGTTTGCTGCTGATGACTTAGTCCTTGGGTCCCTTTTCAATCTACGCACTCTCTGATAAGTCACATGGCTTAAAATATCATCTGTATGTTGTGACTCTCGAGTTACCTCCAGCCCGCCCTGCTCACCTAGAACCCAGCTCTCTCAATAGTCCCCTTCCCCTCTGCCACACCTGCCCGCTCCATCTTCCCATTTCAATATATGGCAGCGTCATCCTTTCAGTTGCTTAGGGCCCAAGTCTTGGCATCATTTTTGGCTGTTCTCTTGCTCCCACACCCCACATCTTTGGCAACAAATCCCACTGGTTCCGCCTTCCTATCGTGTTGGAATCACACCTCTGCCACCCTTATCCGTCACCCAGTGGCAATAACAGGCCTCTCTACTTCCACCTTTGCATATTTATTAAATTAAGTCAGATGTTGTCATTCCCCCCCCCCTCCAAGAATCTCCCAGTGGCTTTTCCTTTCATTCAGAGAAGGATTCTAAGATCTTCCACCATCTAGTCCCACTCCTTATCTAACCACATCTCTTACCAGACCTTATTCAGCTCTGCCCAGATGGCCTCAGTGCCTTTTCTTAAGCATACTAAGCACACTGCCCACCCCAGTGCCCTTGTATATAATATTTTTTCTGTAAGCACACTGCCCATCCCAGTGCCTTTGTATATAATATTTTTTCTGTCTAGATTTTCTTGTTCCAGATATCCTGAAGCAACCCCTCTCTTCTCAGCTGCCACTCACATGAAGTCTCCTAGCCGCCTGCCTTTTTAAATGGTGACATGCTCACTGACATACGCATCTCACATTTCCCATTGCTGCTTTACTTTTCTCTGAAACATACTGTACATTTGACCTATCTTGTTTCTCTTTCTTTCCTTAAAAGAGTATAAACTTATTGCAAGTGGAGATGTTTGTCCTTTTGTTGATTGCTTGCATGTCCAGCCCTGGAATAGCATCTGATGTTTAACAGAACCTCAGTAATATTTGTTGGATGAATGAATTTAAGTAATATTTTAGTGGGGCTGTCTGTAGTGAACACTCCAGGTCCTCAGAAAAGTTATGATATAGACAGACTTTATCTTTTATAATCTTTTCCTTTTAATGATTAAAAAAAATGTTAAATTCAGCCAGACACAGTGGCATACACCTGTGATCTCAGCTACTCAGGAGGCTGAGGCAGGTGTATCACAAGTTCAAGTCCAGCCTCAGCAACCTAGTGGGATCGTCTGTCAGAATAAACAGGGCTGGGGATGTGGCCCAGTGGGAGAACTCATGCTTAGCATGTGTCATGGGGTACCTGTGCATGTTTTTCTAGGGCAGAGTTTTAGGAATTAAATTGGTGTTCTGTAGCATGTTTCTTTCGCTTTACTGTTAATAATTGTTTTCAAAAGTAATTATATATCATTAATACCACTGATCAGCAATATATTTATATGAGTTTTTATTGTTTTACATTTTACTGAGGTGAGGGTGTAAAATGGTACCCCATGTTAGTTTTAGTTTTGCATCTTCCTATTTCCTAATGAAGCTGGATGTCTTTTTGGTAGTTGGTCATTCCCGTTTCCTCCTTTGTACAATGTTATGCTCTCCTTCCTTCCTTTCTTCTCTCCCTCTCCCCATCTCCCTCTTCACCACCTATCTACCTCTTTCTCCCTCCCTCTCTCCCTCTCCTTCTCTATCTCTTCCTTCCTTCCTTCCTTTTCTTTCACAGAGCTGAGGGTAGAACCCAAAGCTTCGCATATACTAAACAAATGCTCTACCACTGAGCTACATCCCCGACCCTAATCTTTTTTAATGGGGCTATTTTTGGTTTATGGGAGCTCTTCGAATTTTCTAGATACATATCCTTTGTCAGTTACATATAACGCAGATCACCTTTACCCAGTTTATAGCTGTCTTTTCACTCCCTTTTGATGAACAGAAACTCAGTTTTAATGTAATTTAATTTATCAATCTTTTCCTTCATGATGTAGGATTTTTTTAAATTCTCATTCAAGAAATGCTTTAGCATCTAGCCAGGCACTGTGGTGCACACCTGTAATCCCAGCGGCTTGGGAGGCTGATGCAGGAGGATCGCAAGTTCAAATCCAACCTCAGCAATTTAGTGAGGACCTAAGCATCTTAACAAGACCCTGTCTCAAAATAAAAAAATAAAAGGCAAGAGGTATGACTCAGTGGTTAAGTGCCTCTGGGTTCAATCCCTGGTACCAAAAAAAGGAATGCTTTAGCCTTCAAGGACATAATAGGAGGTTTTCCACCCTTGGTTGAAGCATTTTACTCTTGGTGCTTTCCTTTGAGCCTCCCTGGTAACCAGTCATAGTGTCAGAGCAACTGAGAGCAGCTTGGTTTTAGAAAACATTTTTGGAAATTGAGAAAGAAAGGTAGTGAATTCAGATATCATACCATGTATAAAATTTTATATATTTTTTTCATTTAGACTTTTTGTATCATTAAAATTATTAAAGCTCAGTTTTATGGGCTGGGACTATAGCTCAATGGCAGAGCACTTGCCTAGCAGTTGCACAGTGGTGCATACCTGTAATCCCAGCATCTCAGGAGGCTAAGGCAGAAGGATCTCAAGTTTGAGGCCAGCCTCAACATCTTATTGAGGCGCTGACTCAAAAATAAAAAGGGCTAGGGATGTGGCTCAATGGCAGAGTAGTCCTGGGTTCAAATCCCAATACCAAAAAAATTATAATAGTAATAATTTTATTTTGCAGTTATTATAAATAAGACCTCAGGAAACGATTCATAAATTTTTTTAAATATATTCTTTTTTTAATATATATATTTTTTAGTTGTCAATGGACTTTATTTTATTTTTTTATGTATGGTACTGAGAATAAACACAGTGCCTCACACATGTTAGGCAAGCACTCTACCACTGAGCCACAACCCCAGCCCGTAATTCATAAATCTTTTTGATGGTTTGCTCATTTCTTTTTTGGGGGGATTGGGGTGGGGAGGGGAGGGATACCGGGGATTGAACTCAGGGGCACTCAACCACTGAACCACATTCACAGCCCTATTTTTTGCATTTTATTTAGAGACAAGGTCTCGCTGAGTTGTTTAGCACCTCACTTTTTGCTGAAGCTGGCTTTGAACTCTCGACCCTTTTGTCTCGGCCTCCCGAGCTGCTGGGATTACAGGCGTGCATCACTGCGCCTGGTGGTTTGCTTATTTCTTTAAGATAGAAGTAGTGAAAACTTATCTAACTTGGTAAAACTTACTCTTGATATCACTAAAATAAAAAGCAATTGGAAATAACCAAGTCATAAGAACTTTGAATAAATTGACTTTCTGGACAATGTTTGCTCCCATTGCTTGATTCTTTACAACGAAATGCAGTGTTTTAAAGTATCCAGCCTACACAGTTTTATGTAAACTGTAGCTTTCGGTGTGTCCATACCTGCTATGTAGCATTTATTGTACAGTAATTATATAATTTCCCTTTTAGGTATCTCACATGATTTTGAATATACTTAGTTTGAGGGTAAATTTAGTGATATTTAAATTACTGCTCTCAATAATGTTTGAAAAGTATTAACAGAGCTGGGACTTAGCTCAATGGTAGAGCACTTGCCTAGAAGGTATATTGAAGATTTACAGGGTATATATTTAGCATCTTAAAACTGACTTTTTTCCTTTAGGGTAATTAAAAAGTTATCAAAGGCTCAGTGACCCATAATACTTGGTATGTGTGAAATGCTGTCTCTATTAAAGTGGCTTTTCTTGAGGAGAGAGACGGTGATTCATTAGGGATGTAGTATGTCACCTTCCATCTCGTGTCCTTGGTGTTAATGCTTGGTCTTATCCTTCTGCCATGTCCACAGGTTAAAGTATTGCACAATCAGCTGGTCCTTTTCCACAATGCCATCGCCGCCTACTTTGCTGGGAATCAGAAGCAGCTTGAACAGACACTGAAACAGTTCCATATCAAATTGAAAACCCCTGGAGTGGATGCCCCGTCTTGGCTTGAAGAACAGTAAAATCTCAACTGGAGAGGGAAAAAAAAAAAGGAATTTCTAAACCAACCTAATCTGATAAGAATTAAGCAGAGTTGGGGGATGTGGTGAGGGTTAACAACTATTGTAGTGATTCTTGCACAAAGCTTTAATTTTTCCCTTCTCATACCTTAACAATTGAACTGTTAAATTTGATGGGAAGGTTGGTAGTTTTAATGTAAACATAAATTCTCTAATCCAAACACAGTAATTTTCCTTTTTGAGAAATCTTTTTGTATTGTGAGGGTTGATGGCTATTTCTGTAGTTTGAAAACATCTAATATAGATTTGCACTGACAAGATAAAAATTTGAGGTTTTTGGTCCTGGAATCGAGGACCAGTTGTAACTTTTCCAGAGGGAGGTTTACACGATTTGTATCGACATCAGATATTTTATATATGAATATATTAAACATCTTTAAGAGATTAATTTTCATGTATTGTCTTAAAGAGAAGAGAAACTATTTTGCAAAGTAAATTATATGGCGTTCCTGCAGCATCCACACAGAGGTGGCAGTTCTAATGAATGATTGATTGGCTCATGGAGTTGTGGTAAACACCTTTATAAAAATGAATCTACCATTATAATTTTCTTCAGCATCTTTATTTTAAAGACACAGGAATAACACTTGTCATTTCTGTGGTGGGTCCTTAAGCTTATGAATTTGTATCACCCAGAGTCACTGGGCAGTTATGTTAGCAATTTCTTTTGATTTATAACGAAACCTGGTTAAAAGAGATTTTTTTTTTTTTTACAGGTGGACTTGAGAATGGAAATTCATGATGGTTTCTAGAGTAGAAATCTGTACTTAGAACACTAGTTTTTGGGTAAATTTCATTTTGATAGTCGTAAATTCCTAGAGAGCTTTCATTGACTTCCATATGTAACAATACCGATTAAGCCTTAAATCACAGATATGTGCCTTCTCAGATACAATAATTCTTGTTCAACCAATGTACATAATCCATGAAGAAACCCCTTTCAGATAATGTTTGATGTGTCTGTTCCTTGGGAAGGAGCACATGTATAAAGATTGAGTTTCTTTGGCCTCGTTAAACCACATTTGAGGTTTACAGTGGAATCAACATTTGAGTTTGTCGTTTGGTTTCTCTTGAGTCCTTTTAAGGAATGAGCAGCAGAAGGACTTTTTCATTTGAGTAATGAAAAGGTGACATGGAACAGTAGTGTGGCTGTAAGAGGAGAGGATGATGATTGGGAAGGCCAGTACCGTCTCAGCTATGCAGCACATTTGGTTTTGTGTTCTTCGTGGTTGGCCCATGTCCAACTGTATGGTTCCTCAATAATGTAATCCTCTTTAAATGTAAAGTTCTTTTGATTTTTGTCATAGACATAAAGTAATATTTTGAGAGGTGTCTCACCTGTTCATTTCTATTGTGTTGAAATGAAGTACTTAAAATTATTGTTATCCATGAACTTTGTGGACTGTAAATTTGTTATATACGTTCAATGCCTTTTAGCTGGCTTTTTAATTAATATGCCTGTTTTGAGTGCTTAATACAATGTAATGTGATTGTAAATCATCAGCTTATTTTCAATCATTCCCTCCTGTATATTTGTACTCTTGAGAGCCTTATTTTATTCTTCCAGCAGAATAACTTACTTGTGATAGTTCATTTACATTCCCCAGAACGTGCCTCTGGTGTGAATTTTGTATTCTTATTAAAAGTGTTTGCTGCAGTATCTTGTTTCTCTTGCCCTCAGAGTTTTAAATAAGAAATAACTTTTTAGAAATTCTGAGAACATAGCATTTTCCCCCTGAACTTTAAAAAAGAAAAAAAAAAACAGCAACAAGAAATAATGCTTTTGTTACTTATAATTGTTTTGCTCAGTTTTCTTTTCCTTCATTTTGAATCTCTTTTGGAAACTGAACCTGTCCAGTCTCACCACATTTCAGTAAACAATGTACTAGCAAAACAGCTAACTAGTTTCATACGGATTAATGATTTTTCAGAATAAACTGAAAATGTCAGTGACTCGTGAGTAGTGGGTACGTGTGCAAAAGAAATAAGAAAAGTAACATACTAGCCAGAGGTACATTTGCTTTGTTAGGAAAGTAATTCATATTTGTTGTAGAAAGAAATAAGAAAAGTTTCATAAAATGAAAGATAACAACCACTTTCTTAACTGAATAAGTACTGCATGGAACCACCTAACCCTCCTGAAGTTGGATGTTTTAATCACCAATTTTTTATATCATAATCTCAGGTTTGGATAACTTTTAACAGGCATATGTTCATCTTTGCACTCTTCTAATTATTTCCTAAGTTATACTCCTGGAAGTAAATATGGATCCTCAAAGTATATGCACACTCCTAAGACTGTGTTGTATTTTGCCTGTTTGCCTTCAAGAAAGAGTATGCCAGTTTACACCTCCCAGAACATACCACATGTGCCTGGTTAGCTTTTATTTAAAGCCAGTATGCAAAAAATTTTTTAAAAAATCCATAGAATCAACAGGACATCACTTTATAAATGTTTTAGGTGGAAAGGAAAAACTGTCAGATAAGACCTGAACAATCAAGATTTGGGGAGTTTTCAGATGTGAGGTATAGGAGCAAAAGATAGGTGGAAGTAGCTGACTTTTCTCATAAAAATAGAAAATATTCAAGAAAAAACAAAAACATTCAAGAAAACTAGTCCTTGAAATTGAACTGTCCATTCAAATGCTTTTAAATCTTGGGTCTAGGAAGGACCTGGATTTGCAGAAACAATTTATCTGAAATAGAAACTTTATTAAGCATTTTTTAAATATCCATAGTACACTGATGACATTATACCATAGAGTGTGAAATGAAAATGTTTCTCAGAGATTGTCTAACACTTTTTTACAGATAAAGGCCTCAGAATATATAAAATTAGCCAGCCCACCATCCTCAAGTCTAATGTCAGATGAGTGCTTGCGACTAAACATGAATGCTTCTTTAAGTCCTGCTATTTCACCTGCATAATTAAACCAAAGCATTGTGTCAAGTTCCTTCTAAAGGAAAGTACAGTATATGTGTTAAATGTCTTTCCTGTTGAAAAAGGTAACCCATCCACCTCCACACGGGTTCATATTAGATACAGTATAAAGTATATAAGACGTTTGTCCTTTCTGACCATTCAAAGAAATCACGTGAGCCTGAAAAGTGTTATATAAAGTAAAATTATGTAAATTATGAAGTTTCTTTCAATCCTGAAATTGTTAATTTGAAGAATAATTTATCTACCTCAAAATGTGCCATCTCGTTTAGTTTTCGATGGAGATGACCATAGGTGTGGAAAATAAAAGCAAATTATCCAAGGTGCTAGTTCAGTACAACATGTATGTGTACTTTTTCCTAATATTTGTGAAGTATTACTTAGAATGCCTGTATTTTGTAATAGTCCTAAATACGTCTTGCCAGTAGCTCTTTCCTTGCCTGGAAAAGTTGAGACCACCTGAAATCCTGCTTTACTGTTTTAACCAAACGTAGGCATTAAGAAAACCTGATTCCCCTTTAAGATCACAATTTTTTTGTCGGTTGAGGCTGTCCCATGGTAAGTGGGCAATAAACAGGGCTGGGGCTGGGGCTCAGCGGTAACGCACTTGCCTGGCAAGTATGAGGCACTGGGTTTGATTCTCAGCCCCACATATAAATAATTACATAAAATAAAGGTCTATCAACAACTAAGAAAATATTTTTTAAAAACTTATTAAAATAGAACTACGATAGAAACAACTTTTCTCTTTTGAGGACTTTTATTAAATTCTGTGTTCCCACTTGAACATTTCCTGTTCAACAGGTTTCCTACCACAAATGGTTCTTTAATAAATTGCTAAGTGGTCCGCCTAATGTACAGGAAACTGAAGTTCATCTTTGTGTAAAATAAAGGTTGATTCATAGAGTTTATGTATATTGACAACTACTTATTATTCCTGTATTAACCCTGATAGGGAAAAAAGAGACTGTTCATTTGAGGAAGGGAAATTAGACCCAGCCTGAGAACCGTAATTCCTTCTGTGCAGTTAATTCTTTAATATGCTGCCAGAGCTGGGAATTTCAGTGACATTTTTACAAATGAAATGTGCCACAAAACCCCAAAACAGTTTGTTTTGTTTGGACCCAAGTAAAGGTTTGCCATGAAGTCAAAAGACTGAGCTTTCTGCATCTGTGATCCAATGAATTGTTTGTTGATTTTTAAAAGTTTTTAAAAGGAACAGGCTACCATTCTGTTGGCCTTGAACTTTCCTTGGCTTAGACTTTCATATTGCTTTGCTTTTGGTTCATGTATGTGTCATTTATATAAATTACTTAGGAAAGAAGTGTACCTCTAGGCAGCATGGGGGCACAAAGAAAGAAAAATGTAAGCCATATGATTTTTCATCCTGTCTTAGTGTCTGAAGTTCCACTAAGAAAAGCAAACTCACAGGGCCCAGTGGCACAAGCCTGTAATCCCAGCGGCTCAGGAGGCTGAGACAGGAGGATGACCAGTTCAAAGCCAGCCTCAGCTAAGCAACTCAGTGAGAGTTGCTCTAAATAAAATACAAAATAGGGCTGAGGTGATGGCTCAGCGGTCAAGTGCCCCTGAGTTCAATTCCCGTACCCCGCCCCAAGCAAAACAAACGTTTTTTGGTTTTGTTTTCAAGTGGGTGGAAAGCATGGAGTAGAGAAAGGGAAAGTAACTTTTCAATCCTGTTAGTCTTCCTGAGAAAGTTTTTAGCATAAGGAATAAAGTATTCCTGATAAATTATTTATATATGTTGTTTTACTTGTGTTCTCCCTCTACATGATTTCTGGTTCTTCCCAAGGAAGCTTTTTATGAAAAAAAGTACCTAGAGTTTTGAGCAGATAATTACAATTCTTTCCTTTGAGCAGTATATACTTACTATGGCTAGACGCTAAGCTCTGAGAAAGGCATAGTGTTGGATGCTGTTTTACTCACCCTGTATCCCCAGCTTCTTGCATAGTTTTTAAAGGAGCCAAGTACAAAGTTTAGAAATACTCAATTTTTTAGCTGAAAATTCAAACGCAGACGAGTACTCAGTTGCACCACTAGCTCATTTCAGTGCGTTACAACAGAGGCAGGGCACTTATTCTAAATTAACATCAGGTGTTACCCAAGACAATAGAATGTTTACGGGAGAGTGGCCAGTTTAAAAATATATTTTATAAAAGGGGGCGTGGCATAGCTCATGGTAGGGCTCAGCTTAGCACGCACAGGCTCTGGGCCTCATCCCCAGTACCAAAAATAAATAAATAAAAGGAATAATTGGAAGAATCATTATTTTGCCACCCCCACTAAAATAACTGATTTACACTGACATCACCAGTAAGTACTAAACTCATTAGGAGAAAGATTGAAGGAAAACCATATTTCCATAATACCAAAGAATTGTTCTCCATAGTACTAATCATGGAAGAGGAAAATACTAAGAGATTTGTGTCTCCAGATGCAATTCAATATAAATTAATGCAACATCACTTTGGAGTTACACTGATGGAACTGCTTAATCTTGATCAAACTGAACCTTTTGCTTTAAATTCCAGGGTACAGAATACAGGGGACTAGGGAACAAGTTAAATTACACCATGTGAAACCAGCTGGACAAATGCAGAATCTGGCACATGCTGCAAGATAATTGGCTGGGTCTTTTCAATAAGTCTGTCACAAAAGAAAAATAATGAACTGCTCTTCAGCTTACACTCTGAAAAATAGCTATATAAAACATTTGAAGATCAACTGAAAATTTTGAGTATGTTTGATGCTACTAGGGACTTTTTTTTTTTTGGTAGCAGGGATTGAACTCAGAGACACTTAACCACTGAGCAATATCCCCAGCCCTTTTTGTATTTTATTTAGAGACAGGGTCTCACTGAGTTGCTTAGTGCCTCACTAAATTGCTGAGGCTGGTTTTGAAATCTCAACCTTCCTGCCTCAGCGTCCTGATCCACTGTGATTACAGATGTGCGCCACCGCACCCAGCTCATTAACTTTTAAGCTATGACGGTATATTATAGTAATAAAAGGAAAAAAACTGCATTAGATGTGTTCCTGAAGAATTTAAAGGCAAAGTGTCCTGGTGTCTGCAATTTACTTTAAAATGATTGAGTCAAAATACGCAATTCATACATACACACTGCTGTATGTGGAGAGAAAGCTGGAGAAAAGGAAAGAGAAAGATGCCTTAATATGGCAAAATGTTAGCAGTTGTTGAAGTAGGTGGGTAGATAAAGTGGTGTTTCAGAATAACAGTCTTTATCTTTTTAAAAAATGTTTATAAAATTTTTAATTTTTTAAAAAAGGCTCTTTGGTTCAGAGAGAAAAAGATTTCCTCCATCTTCCCCAGAGTGGCAGTCGGCTTCTTGGGGTAGAGCCTGTGCCTCTCTGTTCCACTCCTGCACATACCAGGATCCCCCTGTGGCATGGGAAAGACAGCAGTTTGTGTTTGGAAACAGACTCAAGGAAGTTAGGCAATTTTCTGCTTGTCGTTAAAGACTTCAGGAACAGCAAATGACACAGCAGAAGGAGTTCAGGATATGAGACTGAAGAGCACATTCCACGGAGGAATAGGTGAGCTCACCAAACTCAGGGTCTTTTCCTTTTCATTTCTCTCCTCAGCTCATTTCCAAATTGATTTTTTTCTCAGCAGCTGTGAGAAAGTACCAAAGAAGTTAAGCTCCAAAATAAAACACTGTATTTTAGTTTAAGATTTCTTG